ATTTATTTGAAACTCTCTGCTAAGAAGACTTAAAGAAAGATCATATGTTCACAATATGACCTTCCCTGAATAGTGACTACAACTGATTTTAGTGGCCAGAGAGGAATGTGTGTGCATGCTAACTGGACTGGAGAATTCTCAGCACAATGTAATTTGTGAAAGAAAAACAAGGGGGGGGGGTGGGAATTGATGGAAAAGAAGAGCAAACTGTTAATAACTGGTGATGGGCACAAGAGGGTTCATTATACTCTTCACTTCTGTATATGTTTGAAATTTTCCATAATAAAGAAATTTAGAAATTTAATTGAGATATCATTAAGTACTCAAAACAATATGGTTTAAGTCCATAGGGAAGAGAGAGAATGCTTTTAAAACAAAAATATTTGTTGTGAATCCTGGCTTAGAATTAGTCATGAGAGAAGATATCAAAATTACAAGGAGGCTGGGCACGGTGGCTCATGCCTGTAATCACAGCACTTTGAGAGGCCACGACAATCGCTTGAACCCGGGGGCGGAGGCGGCAATGAGCTGAGATCACACCACCGCACTCCAGCCTGAGAGACAGAGCGAGACTCCATCTCAAAAAGAAAAGGACAAGGAGAAAGAAAGTCAACAGATGGTGTTTTTGGAAAACTGAATTGAGGGAGTGTAGAGTTCAAGAACACAACCTGAGAGGAGTGTAACAGATGTGAATTAACGAGCCCAGAGCCAGGAGCTAACAACGGAGCCCGGGACAGGAAAAATTCCTGCGTATGACGGCAGCCTAAAAGCAGGGAAATTAATAAATACCTTATAAGCCAAAGAGAAAAGAAAGCAAACTAGAATGGCCTGGATGGAAGAAACCAGTTGCACAGGAGCTAAGAGAGGCCGCTGCGATGTTCGTATACATTCATGCTTGGGGTCAAACGAGAAGGTAGACTTGAGACAGTCTGAAATGGGACGCACAGCCAGAGATACAGGGGAGCCTAGGGGCATGGTGGACTTGAGTCAGTTAACGGAAATTCTACTGATGTGAACTTTGGTTATTTAAATTCCAGTAAAGCTAAATGGTAAGTCTAAACTCATTTGCAACATGCCTCATTCACACTGAATGCTGAACTTCTCTCAATGAATATGCTAAATTAGGTATGCTTCTCAATTTATATACATGGCCTAACCTTTAGTGAACAGGCAGGAAAGACTGCTGCTAGAGAAGACAGACAGACAGCACAAAGCCAGGAAAAACGAACAATGCTTTTTAACAGGAAATTCCTCCATAACCATATTTTTAGAAGCAAAAAAAGAACCTAAGATCTATGACAACATTATTTATGGAAATGGTATACTTCAAAATATGTTACTTCACACAATAAAGGACTGCCTCCCCTGAACAAACTTCAGTATTTCTAGATTCCTCATAGAAGGTGAAATAAATCAATGACGCCAAGAGGGAAAAACCGTAAGACTATGGAGATTAAACAAAAATGGCTTTATTAGAAACACAGAATGGAGTACAGCTCCTTGCTCGACTAATTTATTCAAACGGCCAATCAGTCTTTTAGCGTCACTCCGAGTGATCCTGAACTCACTACTTCATGAGACCCTCTGTTACATTTCTGAACAGCTCTATTATAAAATGACTTCTTCTACCTCCTGCATGTTAATTCCAGATATGCCATCTGGAATCACAAAGAGTAAATCCTTCCTCCACATGAAAGCCCTTTAAAAGAACCAAAGCATTCCCTCAAGTCTTTTCAGAATGAACATCTCTGCTCCCCACAACAAGAGTGGCAGCAAACACTGCTTTCCTACGTTTCACTTTTGCTATGACCCAATCAGTGTTCTAAGCCCTTTAGCACTATTAACTTACTTAATCTTTATAACCACACTATGAAATATCCCCTCTGAGACACAGTGAGGCTGAATAACTAACTTGCCAAGGTCACACAGGAAACAAGCAGTAGAACCAGAATTCAAACTCAAGCAATAGGCTCCAGGGCCATGCTTTAGCCACTGTGTGCTAGTCTACATCCCCAAGGTGACAGACCTCACTTCCCAGACCACTCTCCCTAGTATGCACAATAATATGACTGGATATTGCCAGACTGTGCAGGGCATGGAATGCCCACATCACTTCTTCTGGGTACTTACTCCTCTAATGTAGCTACTTGAAAATTTCAAATTACAGATGTAGCTCACAGTATATTTCCATTGGACAGTGCTGCTCTAGAGAGTTCCTACATTCGAGTGAAATAAAACAGATAGGAAGGTTTGGAAGAGGCTCACTAGGATTCCTCTGGGGAGCTGGCCCGCTCCAGTTTCACACACACCAAGGGCAGGCACACTCCACGCGGTTTCCCAAAGGCAGAGTCCTGTGCTCTTCACAATCCCTGTATCAAACCCTGAGCCTAGCACATATCTAGTGACTATCTTGTACCTAAAAAAAGGCAAAGTTTACAATCGCAGCTTTTAGGAACTTGGCTAAGGGTTGTCCTGACAACTGAACAAATGTGAAAAAAGTGCTTCAATAAGAGCAGAATCCACCCATCTCTTTGTCAGGTAATGTGCTGTGATGAAGAGA